CCTCAGAAGACAGGTTTTTGGGGAACGGCCACATTTGAGTGTTGTTGATGCTATAGATTAGAACATGTTAGAACCGGAAGACCGTGCAATCCTGCTGGTTTATGATGTTTTGGCATGTTTTGGCTAAGGTATTTTTATCGTTTTTTCTTGCTCCTTCACGAAATGAGGCCCAATCCCTTGAATTTCGACCCTGTCAAGACTACTGCACTGGCCAGCGCCTCAAGCTGCAAGCTCCCTGTTGACGGGCGCCTCTCAAACGTCCAAAGCTGTTGGTCGCAAGGACCATCATTGCAGACCTCGATGCCATATGGCACTCGCCAATGTTTTCTTTAAGTTGTTCACTGTCCTTGGAGGCTGACATTCAGCTGAAGCCCATTAACGATGTCTCAAAGGCAAGCGACCGACCGGGTTCGGAAGGGTGAACCCGGAAGGCTGCGACGAGTCGAGACTCGTGAAGCCCAGGTGAATGCTGGACGTGATGGACGTGATGCCCAGGTTTCACCGTGTCTCCACTCAGCTGCGGTGAACGAATCGGAGAATGGGAAGTAAAAATTCAGGAATGCATGTGTCAGTCTTTGATGTTGCATCGGATCAGTGCCTCGCACATTGCCATGACAAAGCTGTGGCAACTATGGCGAGTAGGCCTCCAACTGGATGGTTTTGGGACATGTTCAAAAAACCATCGAATCAAGCTATACGTGGTTTTTTAAAGAGCCTCACGGAAGTCTGAAGGAATTCGATCTGCGAAAAGTGTCCACAAACGACAGCTGTTTGCATGGCTTACAACGCAAACCTTTGAGCCTCCTCAGAATGCAGCTTCTCAGCGCAACAAGCCAAGGCCGAACCCTCCAAGCTTGGATCCTCGCGTGAGGACAGCTGGAGTGGCCTGGGTGCTGAGTCGCTGGTGAGCGATGCGTGGGTCGGGTCGGATGTGCAGAAGGGCAGCAGGACGTGGTTCGTGCTAGGGGGGTACTCTGAGTTACAAAGCACCTCAAATGGTGGGGGGAGTCTCTGCCCCAGTTTGCGTTTGTTGTGTTTGATCGCTTACTCGGAATTGGCTTGAGAGAGCAGATACATGTAAACTAATTGGATCTAATTGGATGTTTTTGGAGGTTTTGGCAGATTTTGGCAACGCTATTTTTGACCCAGATGATCCTAGATGTATCGGTGAACAGAATAGACCTGGCGTTGCAAAAGGACGGCTCCAGGACTCCAGAATGCCAGATTTGAGGTGCAAGACAACTGCAACAGTAATCGATCCATGGCAAGATTTAATCCACTGAATAATCCCTTCGTTCAAGAAACATCGAAAGCAGATGACTGGAAGCAAGTCTTGTGTAAAGATGAATCAGGATTTCCGTGGTAAACCTGCTGAGGCAGACCTGCCAAAGCCCGATTGGCCAAAGGTGGGAGAGAAGGCGTTCTGCGCTGTTCGGCGCTCCTTCCTACGAAGGGTTCCTTGTTCGGTTGATTCATGTTGTCACAGCGAACTCGAGACATTGCAGGTGGTGCCTAGAGAAGGAATCGTTGGTTTTGATGCTGATGGAAGGTTTGACAGAAAACGATCGATAACGTGCGAGAATAGAAGAATTATATAGATCAACTGATCAAATCTCCGAAATCTCAAAAGATTTCAACACTGTTGTGTGTAATTACAATTGTTTGCTCCAAACTAAGTCATATGAATCGTTGGTATGTACTATGTGTACACATTTGGTGAGCTGACTACTCTTGGAGCAACCCTTTGAACCAGGACCAAAGATCTGTGGCTTTTGGTTTGACCAGCACAACATCCAAGAACAATTGAGTGCCACAAAGGCCAACTAAGGCCAACTTGCAGAAACTCTTGTCTATGCACTCGGGTGGTCAATCCAAATGTCGAAACTCTGAGACAATTGTCTTATTGTTTAGAGACCAGGACATTCCAGCAGATGACATAGATGTCCCGGAACAATCAATACTGGTACAATATGTATGAATCTATCTTGATGAGTTCAGAGACGTTGGAACCCATCTGAATCCTGACTATCCTGATTGACAGTTTAAGGACGATATGTTAGGCAACCCATATGCCGATGGAGCGGTTGCAGCACGCAAGACTGACCATGAGCAGGTACATCATTATAGACTGCCAAGAGGGAAGAATATATACTTCGAGATGTATATATATACCTGGAACCCAACTGACCCCTGTTTTGATAGGAAAAGGCCATATTTTGGGTGGTTGGTGATCCAAAATAGGTGTCATTCAGGTTCTAGGTATGTATATATATATATAATGAGGTGTGAATCACTTTCGGATAACAAACCACTATCCATCTTTCGACCCCCTCGCACCAACAAGCACGGCCGCTGAACACCACACAAGCCTGGGAGCGTTCCACCATCGCACTGAAGCATGTATCACAACGATTTGTTTGCCCCTACTGTACTGTCATAGCTATGTGGTATTATGTGGTCATGGCATGTCTCTGCGGACTTCCCGCTTGGACGTCGCGTCCTCGTTCGTCTATTCCCCACAAACACATGGCCACATGGCAGTGAACACCCACCGAACCTGACATCGGACGACCAACTTGGAAAGATCACCTGGCAAACGCAAAACAAGTTGTCGTGGCCAATCGATGGTCCAACACAAACAGCGAGTTCGCGGTGGTCGAACTCGTGTTCCTTCGTGGCCAATCGATTCATCAGCCCCAACGATCGGGTCGCTCCAAGACTTGGATCGCAGAGTGGACAGGAGACCATTGGTCGAAGACCTTTGTCCCATCATCACGACGTTCCAAGGCAAAGCCACCAGAGCTACAATGTGGCAAAAGCCACTTCCATCCTTTTGCACCGTTCATTGTTCCATCATTTCTCCCATCTGGTGCGACGCTGTTACTCCTTTCACGTGGCACCTGAGCCTGAACCACGGTTTTGGCAAAGTCGGCGGCAAAGTCTTTTGTTCCGCCGGCAAACAAGAGAAGCGTCAAACACGATAGATAGTTTGGATGCAATCATCCCGCCACAACCATCACAGAATGCATGCAGCAACGATGAATTAGGTAACTTGCAGTAAGCGCACATCCTGCTGGCCTTTGGCCTGCGTTTTTTGTTAAACATTGTTCTGGCGTTTGACGTGTGAATTCAAGGCCCTTTTCTGCGGCAGCACAGAACGGTTTTGGCCACACCCTGATGGTTCTCGAAAGATGCTCTCTATGGTTCTCCGATTGATGCTCCAATGTTCTTTGATGGTTCTCTTGATGGTTCTCTTGTGTTCTCTCATGTTCTCAATTGATGCTCCGATTTCTTTTGTGTACAGCGGGTCTACACGATACCCCATGGACGCTGCGATCGGACCCATCGGTTCTCAGGCGGCACATGGTCCTGTCGACGCTTGGAGTGCCCTCAGTGGGGGCGCCTGGCAGCGGTTTTTTGCAGTTGACCCGTGGGGCCCGTTGAGTGCAACTCTTCGGGCTTTTGAGAATTGGAGTGTTCGGTTTCGACTCTAAATCTCAACATGAGGAGCTGATGAAGGATGAGAGGTTATCATGTAGTTTTCGTGCAACTTTCAAGACCGTCCCACATGACCGGGGTAGGCTAGAAAGGGAGTTCTTGCCATGATGCATAGCTACTAGATATGGCTGCCAAACTACCTTGTGACTGCTAGCCTGGCAGTAGCAGTCGAAAATGGACCCCACTATCAGGAATCAATCTTGTTTAAACATGTCATTAACCACAGTGGCCAGGACTGAGTGCAAGTGTTTCTCTTTGATTCCCTTTGTCCTATATGGTTTTATCCAAGTTACATGTCAAGACACGCATCCCTCAACTCGCCGTGTTCTGGCCCTAACATGGCATGCGACATGCTGAAATTCGATGTGAGATGATTTGTGGGTTTAGCAACCTGATAGCGTGTCATTTTGGATTTCCACTACCAGCCTGTCATCAGGTGCTTCTGTTCGCCATGGCGATTGTTCGTCGTTCGCATCCCTCTTTCGTGGCAGGATGCCAAGAGTGGAGTCAGATAATGTTGGATTAGGCAGATAAAGTTCTCCTCAATGAGAATCCCAGAAACTCAGGCCAAGAGAGCGCCCTTGTCAGACGGCTTCCCTTTGTAACATGTTGCCTTGTGCCCTTGCATGCCTAGAAGGATCTCCCTCTTCGTGTCGGTGTAACGATCTGCCATACTGTGGAGCAATGCACCAAGCAGTTTACAGCAATCAAGGCAGATAGGCGAATCAGATGGACGACAGGCAGTCTATGGCAGTCTTCAATCCTTCCTGCACCGCGAATTTGTTGACAGAAATAGATGGAAATACAGCAGATGGAAATACTGTTTGTTGATGGAACACTTCATTCTCCCAACCCCTACCAAGGACGGCAGCTTGTAGGTGGTCCGATTCTGAGCCACTTTTGGGGCGGTTCTTATCGGTTTGGCTCGCTTTAGAGGTTGGGCTCCTTGGTCTTTGCGGACTCCGGTTTGTGAGGTGGAAATAGGTTGTGGAAATAGGCTGTGAAGAGACCATTGAAGCTGTGCATGTGACCAATACACTTGGATCTGCCAATCGCCTGTCAGTTGCCATTTGAGCACAGCTAGGTGGCTGAGCACATAAGATGTAGCCAGTAACTGTAAGGAGAAAGGCTGGAAGATGCTGGAAGACTTGTACAACAATAAGGTACCCGAGTCAAGATAGATGTCAGATAGTGGGAGTATCTCTCAGGCACCGTATTCATCCGTATTCTATTTAAAGTGCGGAAGTCAGACTCACGCTCTCGGCATCAACACCTTTACGATTTGTAGGAGAGCATAGGAGACTCCCAAGATATAGATTGCTCCACCTGTTGCCACGTCATGTTGGTCATCCTCACATTATCAAGGAGAATGGATATCCCTAGCTTCACAATTATTAAGCTAGTAGAAACAAGTGCCACGCTAGTAGTAACAGGTGCCTTACTAGTAGTAACAAGAAGCTATTATAGAATTTGAAGGGTCCCAGTGCCGCGGAGGATCAGCGATGACAAACGATGCCACCGATGGTTCGGTTGCTGTGAAGCCTCGAAAGAAGCGCAAGCTTTCGAAGGATGTGACGAAGAACAAGGAATTTGCGGGTTCCAACTTGCCCCAGGCCAGTGTCTTGATGGCCTGAAAATCCAGTTCTTAGATGCTAGAAATCCGCTATACACCCTTCAGCTGAGTTAAAGATAATGATATTGAGGATTGTGACTTGGTGAATAGGGACGTACCAACTGTAAACTGGAATGGACCCCTGATAGGAAGGAGCCCAGAAGCGCAGGAGACTGAAGACCGCGGCTGGGCCCAACGCGGCTCGGTCGAACAGACCCGAGAGCGGTGAAGCCACCGCCAAGGCCTTCCGGAGCCAGCACGCGATTTCAGTCCGGGGAACTTGCCCAGCTCCTGCGGGAAGCTTCCAGCAAGCCAGAAGCTGCTTGGGGGATGATCTGGTGAAAGGGATGGAGGAGCAGGGATATAGTGCACCCACTCCCATACAAGCACAAGCATGGCCCATTGCAGTACGTGGTCATGATCTGGTTGCAGTGGCCAAGACCGGAAGTGGAAAGACCTGTGGCTACCTACTCCCTGCTTTGGCCCTCATTGCTAAACGAGGCCCGACCCAAAGCCTCCAGCACAAGAAAGGTCTAGATCAACGACCGCCGGCCCAACCCAGCTGCTTGATCATGGCTCCAACCCGAGAGTTGGTCCAACAGATCGGCAAAGAGGCCAAGAAATTCGCGGGCATTGTGGGCGCCCGCGTTCTGGGCATTTTTGGAGGTGTACCCAAAGGCCCGCAGGTCTCTGCTTTGCGCGCTGGCATCGACATGCTGGTGGCGACACCTGGTCGTTTGCGCGATTTTATGACAGGGGACCAGTCCAAGGCCCCAGTCGTGTTGGTGGATTCTGTCACCTTCCTCGTTTTGGATGAGGCCAGGCCATGAACATAATGTCCACAGGGAGTTGAGTGATCCGTTCCAACTAACTATTGAACCAAATCACTTAAAACAAAGACAGTTGGGTTGATACCCTATCATGATACCAGACAACATCCCCCCAGTTTTTCGCCCGAAGGTCCATCACTTGGTCCGCCCTCCTGCGAGGCTGATCGGATGTTGGACATGGGCTTTGAACCCGAGATTCGGCAGATCATTGCCCAGTGCCCCGCTGCCGGCTCAGCGCAAGAGACGTTAAGCGGGGAGGCACGACAGACGCTCTTCTTCACCGCCACATGGCCTCCGGATGTGCAACGGAGCGCACTGCACTTCACTCATCATGCTCTTCGAGTTGAAGTGGGACAGTCCAGTGGGAAGGGCGGTGGTGGTGGCCTTGCGACCAACACCAGTATCAAGCAGACAGTGAAGCTGGTGAAGGAGGAGGAGAAGTTGATGGTTTTGAAGCAGGCCGAGCTTGTGTTGAAATTTGAACAGGGTTTGCTCATGTTTGCTTCTTATCCAATGTTCCAAGGGTATTATTATTATCTCCATATCTCCCAACATGACATGCCTCTTCTACGTCATCCTTGGGTGTTGGGCGACCTCGGTTCACACCCTGCAGGTCATCCGCTCAGACCTGAAGCCCGGGGAGACTTGCATGGTCTTTACAGGTCGCAAGCAGACCTGCGATGCTCTAGAGAAGGAGCAGAGTTGTCCTCAAAGGATAGAGGCAACATGAGACTAACATGTTGCAAGCCTAGCCCCCCCCTCCACGCAGCACTCGAGACACTCTTCAGTGGTGCATCGACTCGGTGGGAATCCACATCGACTGGGTGCATCTTCTTTTCGGGTGTCAGAAGTGGGAAAGCCCCCCAAACAAGCCATGGACATCCATGGACAAGATGTTGAGTATCACTCTGAATTCTGCCCCCCGCTGGCATTTTTGACGAGAGTTTCCAGATAGGTAAGATGCATTAATTATACATTTTGATCTTGACGGAACATAATTCTGCGGTGAACTCCTATTAACATCAGTCAAGAGCCCCACCCCTCGCTTCCATCCTCCACCTGCCAGGAGCTTACTTGGGATCCCATGCGACCGGAGGCACCGATTTGCGCCTGGTGTCGAGCCCTGCATGGTGACAAGGAGTCCCAGACATGTTGTGCCCTCCCAAATTTTACATCAGACGAGACAGAAGTCACATGCTTGTCGTCAAAGTCTTTCAAAGCGGACGTAACAACAGTCCCCCAGCTTGTTACGCATTTTGTTGAATCATTGACCACTGAGCATGATGCTTGCCGTTCCAATGTGCTGTGACCGTTGAGCTCAAATTCTTAGGACTAGGTTTATTGTTATTTTTGGCCATCATGGTCGGCCGCCATGTGACCCTTGCCCTGGCCTCCCTGGCCTTAGCCTGGCGCTGGTGGCCTAGCTTTGTGAGCTCACCTCAACTTCGGAGTTCCAGTTCCACCAGGTCCACCCGATCTGCCCGGTGGGCGACGCTGAGCAACCCCAACTTCTTCTGGGGCGAGGGCTTTGAGGCCACCGACCTGGAGCAAGCGGCTGCGCGGCTGGCCGAAGGCACGGGCAGCGACTTGTGGAACAAGGCCACGTTCGCGCCGGAGGACCCACCGAGCCACTTGCCGGAGGGATCCAAGTGGACACCCTTGCCGAAGGAACAACGCTGGATGAGTTTGAAGGAGTTTAGTGAAGCCCAGGGTAGCAGTGGCAATGTCACAGAGGCGCTCTTTCTGGTGCTTTCTCAAGGTTCAGGTTACTTGGAGAAACCAAAAGTGGATAAGGCCTTAGAGTCCTGGCAATCACCAGATGGCAGCCTCAATCAAATGGGCTGGGCTTCATCCCTCTTTTGGGCTAAAGCACAGATTGCATTTGGCTATGCTTGGTTGTATGGCATGTCTAGCTTCTGCGGATACTTCTTTTTCTTTCGTCCGCCCTTGGTCATTTTTTTGGGCATCGACCTCCTGCCCGGCGTCCCACAATGGTGGACCTCATAGGCGTTCACTTCGTCCACACGCGTCGTTCCGGTGAGCTCATCGTTCCGGGTGAAACCCGGCGACGCATCGATTGCCCGACGGCACCTCTGCAATGAGAAAAGATCTCGGTGGTCACAAGTCCCTTAAGGTGCAATCATATGAACAGAAGTGCAACTTGGACACAAGGATCTTTGTCTATATACAGTATTGTACTGTACAGTCAATATATTAATCATTATATTATAGACGATAGAGAACTTGAAGGTTACAAGGATCTCGAGATCTGTGACACCCTTCGATCCGACCATCCCTGTTTTGAGAGTCTTCGGCACAAGAAAGCTCTCGTTGTTCGGAGGCTTATGATTCTTAGAGGGTCACCCTGGTGCTGGTCTCCAGGAGCAAAAAGATCGTCACAAAGCTCTTGCAGCCTTCCGTTCTGAACTCAAATCTCCGCAGTCACAGGTCCTGCTGACAGGCTCCCAAACAGATAATGAGGTTATTTGGGACATCTTGAGGTTCTATGCTTTGTGCATTTCTAGTACAGGTTCTGGTTCAGTAGGGAGCTTAAAATTCAAACATATGTAGACGGTTGAAGCTGGATGACACCTCCAACCTATCTTTCGAGCAGCAAGGTGCCATCACAGAGAACCCGCGCAAGGGTCAGAAAGGCGCCAAGCCGGCTCTGTGTGCTTTGCTGCGCTCACGCCATCCAGACGGTCACCATGTGCGCGTCGTCAACACGGACGCCGCAAGGCGTCTTAATCGCCACCGACGTCGCAGCGCGGGGACTCGATATCCCTGGAGTGGCCCTTGTGGTACGCCTCTCAAGTGTTGCCAGGCGTTGCAGGATGTTGCAGGTGATGTGATTTCGGATGATTTCGGGGAGTGTTTGTTGGTTCGGACCCTGCCTAGTTTGCCTAGAGTAAATTGTTAGACTCACGAAAAGAAGTGAAACCAGGGACATGGCATGGCGAGTGATGCCTGATTTCATGGCACGAAATGTCTTTAGCCAGGTGATCTTTGACTATGCCGAATCCTGCACAGCCCAGGCCTCGACGGACATTCCAGAAGACCCTCAAGTAGCACCAAGTATCATAGAACCTCAGCCAGACATCGAGTCTGATGTCGTAGCTATCCTGTATGCCCCAAGTATCATGGTGTTGAACACTGTAGTCAGTGACTGTTTCCTCACTTTCCCTTCACTTATATTATGATATTGTATATAGTGGGGTCACAATATATACAGCATGTCAAGCATTGTCATTTTCGAGTGTCGAGTTGACCCTGGAGCGGGTTTCACTCTGAGGTTGGGCAGTATTATCAAAACTTTCAACAACACTCAGATGCGGATGTAATGCAGTTGTTTATTTATCCAGGATTCCCAATCATTTGCAGTTGCACATGCTTCCTGTTGGAACCCATGACCGCCATCCCAAACTCAAGTCTTGGAATCTTGGAAGATGCAGGGCAAGCAGGACTGCTTTGCTTCATAACTTCAACATAACAGGAGGCCGCTGAGACCTACATCCACCGGATTGGACGCACGGGCCGGGCGGGCAAGGCGCGGCGGGACAGTTGGGATTTCACCCAGAGAATTCTGGAGTGTACTCAATGCGGATGGTGAATACTTAAGTTTGGGCCTCTTTGTGGGGTGCTTATTCTTTTTTGATCTTTTTTGAATAGGAATAGAATTTGCAGTATCACTATCATCACACGGCCAGGAGGGGCGCGCGATCACCTTCTTCACCCCAGCCAAGGCCGATATCTTTTCACCGTAGCGATGTCTGGACCGCGCTTCCGTTCGTCCACGGTGCTCGGCTCGCAGGATGTCGGAGCCAAGAAGTTGGTCGAGCTCTTACGAGCCGCTGGCCAGGCGGGAGCTGAGTCAAAGCTGTGTAGAATGGTTGGTGCTTGGCATGGAACGGATGGTGACGCAGGGGGGGGCTTTAGCAACAAGATGCTGCTCCGTCCGCGACATAAACATTGTTGGACGCTGGCTCTTTTACTTGCATGAAATTGAGCTAATATGTTTTTGTTTTTGTGTGACAAAGGTGTCTATGTTCTTTTTTGCATCTTTGGACTTCACGAACCACCGAAATCTTTTCGCTTTCAGAACCACCCTAGAATCTTCCAACTTCAGACCTGTGCAGGCCGTTTCCTCTCAACTGGAGAGGCTTTCTTCGGCTGAAGCAGACGAGGTGCAAAGCTCGACGCGACGAGTTTCTGGCCCCGGGCATTTCTGGTCGGCAGGTGCCAGTCTTTGATTTACTATAACGGGGTTTCAGGGTAGCTGTTATAGTCCTTTTTTTGTCCTGGTATGTCCTAGTGGTGTTAAAGTTATAGTGATGGGATGCGTTGCTTTTCCTTGCTTTATTTTTTAAAACATGTTTGACCACTGAACTCACGGGAACGGGCAGAGCCCATGGCCGGGCAGCCACGGGCGTGGGAACGCGGGAACGCTGCAGGTTCATGAGCCCAGAAGATCCAAAGCAGCTCCCAAGGGCAAAGGTGGGACTTTCCAGTATTTGAGTACACTTTCTTCCGTGAACCAGTGTCAAAAGCCAATCAGGCAAGCACCATACACCATGGTGTGTGTGTGTTCTCCCTTTTTTGTTAAAGCCTGGAGCTCTTTCTACATTCTACACTGGTCTTCTCCAAAACCCAGTTGTAAGTGGTTCTTTTTTGCGATGATTCAGCTCTGAGGCCGTGGGAAGGGGAAGGCCAAAAGCAAAAGTGAGATGCCAAAGAGCCGCCGTGGTAAGAAGCCAAAAAGAACATGCGTCCTTCGCACCGGGGGGGGTGCCCATATGACTCGTACGACGAGGGTCCTGAATTGTACGGTGGTGATGGGCACGGAGTCCGGCCGAACATGAGAACGGTAGAGTATGTCTCGTGTAGGAAAAGGGTACTTCACATCCGTCAGGAACACCAACAGTTAAGTTTCCCCTAAACATCTAGGAAACAAATCATTAGTGCGAGCTCTTCTTCAAGAAAGCTCCCCCCCGCCGCCCGGCAGGGGCAGCCTCCTTACTAGAAGCGCACTTAAGCTACTAGCTACCTCTTCCTCCATCCGCGACCTACCTCCCCCCCGGGGCTAAAAGAAAAAACTATGCCTAAGCCAACACTTGGGACCTCTTGAAACATAAGCTTGAAGCAGGATACATGTTTGGACGTAACATCCCTCAGGTAGAATCCTCAACTCAACCTGTCACTTTTGCTTTGCATACATTCATATCATTAAGCTGGGCAAGGATCTTGCTGTGATCCTCATGCTGGCACGGTTGGACATGGTTCCTGGTGTAGACTTGTGACCCTCTTGAGTAGCCCTTGGCCAGTAGACTAGATGAAGCAGGCGCGGTCTTGGGCCCTCAAGGAGGAATGGTACGTAGTGATAGAGTGATAGCATGTGGCCGCTTGCGCAACACGCTGAATAAACGGATGGGGATGATGGGGTGCGTCGCTCAGTCACTTCCTTTGCTTCCTTGGGAGCCGACTTCTAAGGTTCTCCACCGGAGACAAACTCAGAAGGATGCAGGGCGCGAAGGACTGGACCTCAGAGGTTTGCAATGAGCTGGTAGTGCTTGAGGGCTTTTCAGGTCATCAAGAGCTGCAAGGTTTGGCTTCTGCCCTGAGTTTTGCTTTGACCCTTTTTTTTGTGGGGGGAGTGAAACAATTGTACCCAGCTCAAAGCTTATTCCGATTGGCTTCCCACCATCGCCACCTTCGCTGGGGAAACGATCTGAAGCGGTGCTCGGCGCCCCGATGTCGTCGTCACCTTCTCAGGATGTTTTCTGAGAGATGTGAGCCACATCCACTAAGTGGATTGGGCTGTCGATCGATCATACCTACCGTAGCCATTCAGTAGGTCGCGCTGTTTCCAACAGCACAGCAACGCTTTGGTCTCACCAATGCGCGCTTTTCAAGCATCATCTTGATGAGACTTGCTGACCTCGGCTCTGGTTGTGAAGGTGTCATGGCGCAGAACTGCGGTAAGTTCACACCGTTGTTGTTTTTTGCATGATCCAGAGCCGAAGATGAATGCCCGTAATGGATCTGTACATCTTCTCCGAGAATTCGTGACCAACAGTTGCTAGAAAACCAGGACAATTTAGACTGGTCATTGCACTTGAGCTGATGGTATTTGGTATCTTTTCTCAGCCTCAGCCCCCATAGTTCCTGGAAGTCTTTAACAATGCTTGATGCTGCCAGATTTGTTTTTAGGTGAAGTGAAGGATACTGGAAGTTGTAATTATCTCTGAAAGGGTACGGCTGTTGGAGACCACCGCTGCACAGCATTGCAGATCACCACGACAGAACAGGCAG